TCCGGAGGGTGACATACAGGTGCGAAAATGCATCTGTCCGTCGCTGAGCAGCATACGTCCGCCCGCCGCCTACCTTTCTGACGCCTGCATATATAGTACTAGGTATAGGCGTCCAAAATGCGGCCCTGGGTCTTCCAGATGACTCAGCGCTGCCCTGGCCGTCGCATGAAGCGAGCAAAAAATTGCGTGACAGAAACACCCTGATGCTCTGCTGGTTGGAACTGTTCTCACGAGATGGTGCGCCATCGCTCTGCTGGCGCCACTGTTGACAAGGTGGCCCTGCAGATCACCGCCGCTGCATCCAAGCCAACTGCGTGTAACCGGTCGAGACTGTGGAAATACAGTAGTGGGCAGACTGATGGTTCCAGTCAAGCAAGTAGACCTGGGATTCAGTTACGGTACACGCGGCGCCATTTGACCAACTAGTTGCTGCCTGCTTGACTAAGCTTGTTCTGCATCAATCGTAGATTGAGTGCGCCGCTTGCCTCCTGTGCAGCAATCAATGTCTCAAAAACAACCAAGGATGGTCGCAACCACTTGCTTGTTGGACAAGGCATTAGTCATCTCAGCACGCCCAGCAACCAAGCGTGGCCACAGGCATTGATCGACAATCATTGTCAGCACAAGCAGCGCGCGAGGCTGTGATGATCTTGACCGCGCCATGGTCAGGTGATGGCACAGGAAGCAGCCCCAACACTTGGAATGTGGCATCACTTTTTGATATGGCAAAAGCCACCAGACAATCGCCTCAATCATCTCTGCGCACTCTGAAATGTCTGAGGCATGCAGCCAAGCACACTGCCACATGGCCCAGGACAGTGCATGGCCGTGCGCGCCTCCCTCGTTCGTGCCCCCCCCCTCTGCGACACAAGAAGATGGCCTCAAAATACGAACAGCATGACAGTGTGACGCTCTTACAAGTGCGTAGCTTGATCTGTGTATGCACTTTACATCGGCAAAGGAAGCCGTGAAATCAATCAGTGCGAAATTCACACGCAGTCATGTTATTTTGGCCAGCATGATGCTTCCTGGCCCTGATCATCAGGATGACGAAAACCCAAGCCCTTGCCAGGGTCGCAATGGTGTCTCACAACGTAGTGGTCAACACGGTCAACACGCGCACTGCTGGTGCGATCCAACGAATGTCGTCTATGACAGCCAGGCTTGGCAAGGCAGCCTGGCAACTGCCCTGCCTGCAGATTGCAGCTGGAGGGGCACGATCATTCGAACAGCAGCACGTGTTCGTCTCACTATACAGCCCCGCACGCTTGCGCGTGCGTCCGACTCTATACCTGCATGCCACTCCCTCCCCTCGTCATGCGCCGTAAAGCATGCATGTCCCAAGCCAAAGCGGGCGAAGTCCCGGCACGCCGCCAGGCTGCAGGTTTACTCGTTGTCGCGCGCCCTTGCCCTGACGCTGCTACCGACGCGCTGCGCGACGTCGCGCGGTGTGGCGAACTGAGGCCGCACAGTCAGCACGCTGCCCGGCGCCGTCACCCCAGGCAAAGCCTGCGGAACGCGAGATCGGCAGCAGGCAGGCAGGCAGGCAGGGCGCGCGAGGGTTGGGGGGCGGGGCTGTTGCAAGCAGCGACTCCACGCACAGACGCGCTTGGCAGCCGCACGTGGGCGGCGCCTGCTGTCACCAGCGGGCGGCGTCATTGGGCGTGGGGCAGCCATCAAGGCAGTGGTGGCGGTGAGGTGGCGGGCAGCAACCATGCAGGGCGTCCGGCCTGGGCGTGAAGCTGCCTCACCTTTGAGTCCAGAGCATGATACACCGCCGCAGCGTCCTCCGCCTCTCGCATGTTGACAAAGGCGTAGCCGCGCCGCGGGAACACGGCCACAGACTCCACCGGACCAAAGCGCGCACACACCGCTTCTAGTATCACTTGACACCGCGGGCCCCGCACCTGTGTATGGGCGGCGTCCGTGGCGTGTGTAGCATGTGGCATGGCAGTCGGTTGGGTTGGGGACAAGTCATGCACACTTTGCCATCGAGAGGGCCTGTGGCGATGGGCCGGGTACCGGCTGGCGGCTTGGTTGCGGGTTGCGTCATGATAACAGGCTGCCCGCCCCACTGATGCTGCGTCCGCAAGCGTGCGTGTCGCTCTCACGTTGACCAAGTGCAGCGAACGCACGCCTCTGGCCCTCGCTGCGCCCTCCCATGCCGCTGATCCTCTGATGTGTGCGCCGCGCTCGCCGTGGGCTGCGCGGACACGCGCCGGCGACGCCGGGCCCCGCGGCGCCTCATCGCGCGGCGCCGGAGCGCGGGCCATCCGCGCCTCTGGCAGGCCGTCCCTGCCCACAACTGCATACCCCGCTCTCTCCAGCTCCGCCCTCTGCCGCAGGTCGGCTGCAGAGCCAGGGTTGCCGGCCCGCATCACAAACCATTTGGAGGCCGGGCTGGACACGCGCTGCAGCAGCAGGAGCCCAAGCTGTGACTGGAGCGCGCAGGCCAGGCCGAATGCGTCTCCAAACAGCTGTGAAAGCAGGAGGCCGCCGGAGCGAGGGGTCCACGAGTGGTTGAGAGCCGTTGCGTCACGAAATGACACAATGTGTGGCCTTAATGGCTGCTGAGCACTCTGACCCTTGCCGTGGCCCATCCGCTGCGACCGCTGCAGTCCAGCCTCGGACTCGGACGCACACGCAAGCCGGCCTCCCCCGGCCTCCCCGCCAGTGCGCCCAGGAACCTTCATGGACGCTGGATGTGCTGCTGATTTGTTGCGCGTCTCAATGACGGCCTCACCTTGCAGTACACAACCCGCCGAGATGCCGCCATGAACTCCGACTCAATGACAGCAAAGGGCCTGGGCTCCCGCATCAGTCCCAGGTGCTTGCCGGCCAAAAGGACGAAAATTTGCAGCAGCTGGTGACTCAGAACGACGTCCTTCCAGTCGTTGCGCAGCCGCACCTGTTTGTGGAGCAGGGGCCATGGGGGCAGGCGGACGCGGCGCGTCCATGGGGCTTGCTCAGGGTTGCAACGCCTCCTGTTTTCGGGCCCGTTGCTTGCGCGGCCAAAGCACACGGTCAACCCGGCAGGTTGCCATCAGCATCCCTCAAAAGCTGCTAGGGCTGACAGGTGTCCCACTGACCTGCTCCTGCTCGTCCTCCACCACCTGATGCTGCTCCTGCTGCTGTTGATGCTGCTGCTGCTGCTGCCGCGGCTGCTGCTGCTGCCGTATTGTATCTCCTTGCGGCCTGTACAGCTCCAGCGCACTGCAGGATTGTGCCAGCGATGCGCGCACGGCTGCCTTGCCTCCCATTTCTGGCGGCAGCGCGAGCAGGGCCAGCGGCACAGCCACGTGCCGCTCGGTCCATTTGGACGATGCCGCGCCCCATGAGGGGTGGCGCAGGTGGGAGTTGAGCTGCCGTGCTGCCTCCTGATACACGTGCACCAGCGCCGCAGCTCGCAGCTCTTCCAGCTGCCTTGCGCTGATTCTGGGGAAGCCGCCGAGCGACTCTATCCCCAGTGCCGCCGGGGCCGCGTCCCAAAGCCAGCGCAGGCCGGGGGCTACCGAAATGCCTTGTGGCGGCGCAGCAGCTGTTGCTTCATCAGGTCCACCGTGCCGTGGTCGGAGTCTTGGACGACCGGGGCTGCGGCTCCTGCTGCTACGCTCGCGCTTCGAACGCGGCCCCCTGTCGCGGCTGAGGTCGCGGCTGCGGCTGCTGCGCCTGCGCGGCCCGTCGCCGCCCACGCGCAGCGCCTGAGCAGCACGGCCGCCTGCGCTGCCTGCCGCCTGGCAGCTGCGGGACCTTGAGCGCGAGCGCGGGCGGGAGCGGGGGCCGTCTTTTGGGGAGCCCTGCTCCGCCACCACGGTGTGCCAGCACCGGCCGCTGTCGGCGCTGCTGGAGGCTCCGGGAGACGTGGGGTGCGACGGCTTCGATTGGCCTGGCGCCAGTCCGAGCCCTGAGCCGCTTGTGGAGCGTTCGAAGGCGCGGTGCTGCCGCTGCTCGTCTGGCTGGGCGGTGTGGCGCTGCAGCACGGGGGCTGGGGTGTGAACAGCAGGGGACGCACAATCTCCTGTGCCAGCAGTGTGCTGGTGCTGCTGATCGCAGCCTTCCTGAGGGTTATCGTGCTGGCCCTGCCGGCCCTGCTCCCCTACCTGACCCTCCTGCTGCTGCTGCTGCTGCTGCTGCTGCTGCTGCTGCGGGTGCTGCTGCTGCTGCTGCTGCTGCTGCTGCTGGGGGTCGTGCTGCTGCTCCTGCTGGGGGTCCTGCTGCTGCTGCTGCTGCTGCTGCTGCTGCTGCTGCGGGTGCTGCTGCTGCTGCTGCTGCTGCTGCTGGGGGTCGTGCTGCTGCTCCTGCTGGGGGTCGTGCTGCTGCTCCTGCTGGGGGTCCTGCTGCTGCTGCTGCTGCTGTTGTTGCTGGTGCTGGTGCTGGTGCAGCTGCTGCTGCTGCGGGTGCTGCTGCTGCTGCGGGTCGTGCTGCTGCTCCTGCTGTGGGTCCTGCTGCTGCTGCTGCTGCTGCTGCTGCTGCTGTTGCTGCTGGTGTTGTTGCTGGTGCTGGTGCTGGTGCTGGCGCAGCTGCTGCTGCTGCTGCTGCGGGTGCTGCTGCTGCTGCGGGTCGTGCTGCTGCTCCTGCTGTGGGTCCTGCTGCTGCTGCTGCTGTTGCTGCTGCTGCTGCTGCTGCCCGCCGAGCGCAGCAATGAGTGCAGCCTGCTGGTCGGCGGGGATCTGCAACGCAAGGCGGGTGGCCAGCTGCGTCAGCAGTTCTGGCGCTTCAGCTTGCAGCGCCGGCGACAGCCGCGCCAGGCACGCGTCAGCAGCGGCCACAACGGGCAGCGGCACGGCGGCGCCCCCGGCTGCTGCGCGGGCGCGCGCCATCAGCGGGCGCAGGTGGTGCAAAGGGCAGCCGCCGGCCAGCTGCGCCAGGCGCGTCAGCAGGGCGCAGCACGCCTCGCCGCGCGGGGGCTCTGTCAAGGTCTTGACAAACCCTTCGCAGAGCTCTAGCACCTGAGGGGCGGCAGGGCGGCGTGGGTTCGCCAGGAGGCATCGATGCACATCACGTCCTCACTTAGTGGCCAGCGGGTGACGGCGCTGCCGCACAGCTGTGCTTGGAAAGTTGCATTATGCAGCCGCTAGCATCAATAGCTGCTGCTTGTGAGCTTCTCTGCTGCTGCGCCCACCTCTTCCGGCGTGAGCAGGGGCGGGCCGCCGTACTCGGCCTCCTGCTGCCGCTCCAGCTCGCGCCACGCGTCGCCCCACTGCTGCGAGCCGTCTGGCAGGGTCTCCAGCAGGGCGCTGACGGGGACAGCCTGCCCGCCGTGCTTGAGCATCAAGTAGCTGGCTGCTGGGTCGACGACGCCTGCGAGGTTGCGCGAGCAGATTCCGTGCTGTGCAGGCCCCTTGGCAAGCACAGTGGGCAGAGGTGGTTGCACACGCGTCAAACAAGATCTCCCAGGTTTTCGTGATTAAATCGGCCTGATGCCGCCCCACCTGCAAGGTCTGCAGCCACATGAGCGCCGATAGCCTGGCCGAGCACCAGCCGGCCGCGCCCGCCGGCGCCGCCTTCATGCCACGCGACTAGGGCGCCCCCGGACACGCACGCGTCCGCGGACGCACGCTCCCCGAGCTGCCACAGCCAGCTGCCTGCCTGAAGCGCGCGCAGCACCTCAGAGCGCGCCAGGTACGCCGTGCCCAGAAGCTGAAGCGTAGCAGGCAAGAGATGGGTGGTGGATCAGGTGTGCGCTGTGCAAGCAAAATCGCGCTCCTGCGCCTGTGCGGCGGGCGTGACGACGCATCTGACGATAGCCAGCACCTTCCGCGTTTGCGATCACAATGAAGAGTTCCGCGGCTCATCTCAATGTTTCGACTTGCAATCCACAGGAGCATCTTTGCCGTAGCACCGACGTCGTGCCAGACCGCAACACCGCGATGCTCAAAGAGAGCCTCACCACATCGCTCGACATGGTTGCGTGGTGCTCGTCCGAGAACTGTGCCTAGATCATGACAAACTAGCGTGATGAGGTGACAATCGCGCAGGGAAACAGTATGCAGCTAGGCTAAGGCTGAACGGATCGGTGTTGTAACACTCCTTTGAAATGTTCTTGGCCAGTGGTGTGCTCGTCACCAGGCCTGCTGTAGACCAGGAGTCGTCACTCGCACTACCCGCCGAAGTGGACCCAAGTGAGTTGCACTCAAGCACCTGACATGCAGGAATGGGTTGTCTGGAAGAAATGGGCTACAACTTCCGCCCTCATATGGGTGTTCCCTCCTGCTAAGGTGTGCTGCTGCCTACAGCTAACACATGCAGGAATTGCCAGCCTGCAAACGCGTACCAACACGCACCTGCCGGTAGGTCGAGGGGCGGGGCCTTTTTTTGGAGGATCTCTCGTGAGCATCCTGATGCTGCTGCAATCAAGCCGCATGGAATTCTGACAAATCTGCTTTTGCAGAGAAGCCGCGTGGCACATCCTGCTGTTACACCTGCTCGCCCCAGGGCACTTGCGCACCACCACCTGGCAGGCACTTCTGCCGTCACTGTGAGCACACACTGTTGTTGGCTGCAACAAAGTACTCAGACAGGACAGGCGGATGTGTGCTGTTATTGAGTGAAATTGACGTGGAAGTTACAAACAAAACTGCCGTGCCCTGTAGTTGCATCCGCTGTTGCGGTGGGATGTGGTCGGGCAGGCGATCGGGTGACAACTGCTCCGATGCATGTGCCACATGTGATGGCGGGGCCACTCAAGGGACCACGCCACACACTATGTTGAGTGGACCCGTCCATTCATTGCAACATCCCACCCCAAAGTTGCAACTCGACTGCAATGTGCGCGCGCGCTGCTGAATTTCCAGGCCGCCCATTTGCCAACTGAGACGGCGGCCGCGGCGGGGCCGTCGCGCAGCACCGCGGCGAGCCCCCGTGGCATTGCCGGCGCCGCCAAGCGGCAGCGTAGTGGCGGGCGTTCTATTGATTCTTGCCGCCGGCGCAGACCGGGTGGCTGGAGTCGGGTGCCCTGCAACTGGCGCCGCCAGCTGGACGGCCCAGCAGGCACCTCGCCAGCGGCGTGGCAGCGGCGGCGGCCACAGGCGAGGGAGGAGAGGTGGGGACATAGGGGAGTTTGCGATGTGCAGCTGCCTCTAGCGATTCAAAAAAAATCGGGCCTCGCCGCTGTGTAGTGCTGCGGCCAGCACCGCAGCCAATACTGCTGCTTTGTTTTCGGGTGGCGGATTGCTGCAACACCTCCTTACATACGGATGGCTACTTTGAATGAAAGTTTGGGCACGCCAACGGTGCCCTTGACGCCGCGCCGCAAAACGAGTTCCCTGACGCCAGGGGCGGTGGACACTTGAGTGGCGCCCGCGCCGCGCCAGGGGCTGCCAGCGCAAACGCGTGGCCCGGCGGCGGCGCGCCTGACACCCCCGCCGAGGCCCGCGGCAGGCCGGCAGGGCGCGGCGCGGAGGCGATCGCCGGGGCCGGGCATGCTGCCGGCGCGGGTGTGGACCGTTGTGGCAGCGCCCCAAGCGAAGGCACTCTCAGCGGCGCGGCGGCGCTGCGCCAAGGTGGTGGCCGCGCCGCCAACTCTGGATACTGGGCCACCACCACCCCCGCGACAGGCGGCGGCTGGGCCGTCGCACGCCCTGGAAACGGTCCGGCCTGCAGGCTAGGGGAGCAAAGCGGCCGGACCCCGGCCGGACCCGCCCCCGTCAGCGGCGCGGCCGGCATCGGCGGCGGCGGCCCGGGCGGCGGCCGCCCCAACATTGGGCGCATCGGACGAATAGCAGGTGGGCGCAATGGAGGCGGCGCCCAGCTCCATCCTGCCAAGGGCCAGCTTGCGTGGTGCGCTGCAAGCATCGCAGCTGCAGGTGCCATCGGGCCGCATTCGAAGAGGCCGCCGCCGGGCGCTGGCGGACGAAAGCCGCCGCCGAGCAATGTTGGGGCGCAAGCGGGAGCGCCCAAGGTAGCGGGGGCCTGTGCAAGTGAAGGTTGGGCGAGGCTGTTCTGAGACGCGGGGCAAGGGGCACCGGGGGCTGCGGCCAGCGGCGCCGCTGCTGCCGCTTTGCAGCCCTCAGTGGGGGGACAGGAGGACAGACAATTCTGCCCCGCAGGCGCGTCTGTGGTCGCCACGAACGCCGGCGCCTCGTCTTCGACCTGCAGGGCGAATACGGGCGTCGTGGGCAGGTGGGTGGGCACGCAGGGATGCGAACAAGTGCTGTCCGCCCGGCCTGCATCAGCAGCACGTCTGGAGTATGCGCAGACACCTCGCATTCCATTCACAGCAGCCGCAGCTGCGGCGGCAGCTGCAGCCGCAGCGGCAGCGGCAGCAACAGCAGCAGCGGCAGCGGCAGCGGCAGCGGCAGCGGCAGCGGCAGCGGCAGCGGCAGCAGCAGCGGCGGCGGCAGCACAGCCGCGACTCCCCTCCCACCAGGCTGGCAGCATCCAGGTTGACCGAGAGGGGCCGGATGAAGCCCAAATTAAAAGGGGAAACTTCGTGTGGGCTGGCCTCGAAGTAAGAGCGGCCCGCGCGGAGCTCCGCCGCTGCTTTGCGTGCCAGCAGCTGCGCCACGCCGTCGGGGCCGGAGGCTCCCGGGAGCGGGCGCTGGAAGCAGATGGGGGCGAGGGTCTGCTGGGCGCCGGCGGAGGCGAATGTGCCGTGGGGGTGGGGTGGGGGACAGGAGGGGGGCGGCGGGCGGCGGTACATGTCGGTGCGCAAGGATGGGTAGAAGAATGCGCACGTGCGCACCGAAATCCTGCCCGCCAGCGCGGCCAGCGGGGGCATGCCTGCTGGCTGCGCAGGCCGAGGATGCCCAGGCACAAACCAAGGTTCAGTCGTTCACCGGTTTTCGGCTGCAACCCCCTCCCCTGCTTTGACGCCAAGCAGCCAGCGCGCCACAGTTTCAAGCGCGCAACCGCTCTCGACACTGCATCATCACCATCAACAAGGGTGTTGTACCGTGACTACCACTGACGCGCCGCAGCGCGTCCCACGAGTGTGATGGCATGGTGACGTCACCCCACGCACGCACCTTGCTTGCCTGCAGGGCGTCCTTGACCTTGTCCAACGCAACCAACACGACGCGGTGGCCCCGCCCGCCACCGACGCCGCCGACGCAGGGCTGCCGCGCCAGCAGCGCAAACTCCCCCGAGAGGTTTGCGAGGGCCCAGAGCCAAAGTGAGCCGTAGAGCAGCATGTAGGCGCGCTCGGGGTCGCCCAGCAGGGGGTGCAGCACACGCACGTCAAGGACAGTGCCTGCGGAGGAGGGGGATGAATGAGGTTGTGGTGGATTGGTGTGTGTGTGTGTGTGTGTGTGTGTGTGTGTGTGTGTGTGTGTGTGTGTGTGTGCGCGCGCGTGCGTATGTGCGCATGAATGGGTTACTGTAGTGGGCAGAGGGACGTTGAGCAAAGGAAGCGGCAAATGGTGCAGGAGTCTATGACACTTTGAGCCAGCAAACGCACCTGGCGACCAGAGAGAGGCAGCAGCAGAGCACCCCGACAGTGTTTGTGCTTCAGAGGCGCATTGAATCCAAGTGCTGCACTATATCATTTGCCGACCAACCAGGCTTGCCTCAGAGCGCGCGCCACGCGCACCTACCCGCCGGCAGGAAAGCCTGGTTGCCGCGCTCGTCCCGCCAGCCATCGTCCCCGGGCGGCGCCGCCCGCGCAGCCCCCAGCACTGCCGGCACGACGAGCCCCTCCAGCCGCCGCCTCATCACGCAGCTGCCGTGGTACAGGCAGCACGCCGCGTCCATGTACCCGCTCGCCAGGGAGACAACTGCCGCGCCCGCGTCGCCCTTGGCGGGGCTCGCGCCCCCACCGCCGCCCAGCCGCGCGGCCTTGACGGCCGTCGGCCTCGCGGCTGCGGCGACACGCAAGACGCCGCCGCAGTGCAGCTGGATTACTTGACCCAGAGGCTTCCCGGCCAGCCCCGCCGCGGCCAGCAGCGCATGCGGGGCGCGCAGCGAAGCAAGCGAGACCCGCGCCTGCAGCCACGCGGGGTCCTCGCCGAGCGGCAGCTGCACGGCGGCTGCGCCCGCCGCAGCCGCCGCGTCGTTGTGCGCCAGCTTGAAGGCGAGGACCATCACGGGCTGCAGCAGCTGCCGGCAGTCCTTGGCGCTCGCGCCCTCGGGCGGCGCGAAGCGCTGCAGCCAGCCTGCCAGCCCTGCATCCGGCCTTTCGGGCCCACAAGGCTGCAGCTCTCCGCCCAATCTGGGCTTTTTGGGGCCCTGGTCAGCCAGGTGGTCGGCATCCCTTGAGCGCTTTGTCATGATGTAGTCTTCATCTAGTTCCATGTCGGAGTCCGCGGCTTGATCCGTCTGCTGCTGCTGCTGCTGCTGCTGCTGCTGCTGCTGCTGCTGCTGCTGCTCATTTAGATCCGTGCTGCGCGGCAGCTGCTTGGCTGCACGCCGGCCCTGCAGCCCCGGCTTGTGCTGCTGCTCCAAGAAGTGCAGCAGGAGGCTGTCTAGCCGGGCCGAGGGGGTCGCGCCCGCCACCGCGAAGCTGGTGGCTGCGGTGCCCTCAGCAGCGGCGGCTGGCCCCGGTGGTGCCTCATTACGAATGGGCTCGCCGCCAACCCGGACGCCGCCGCTGCCGCCCTTGGCCCCAGCCGTGGCCCCGCCGTCATCCGCACCATCTACAACACAGCGAGTGTCCGACCCTTTGCAGCTTGGCCGCGCACAGCCCGCGCCGCTCTGATGGGCTGCATCGTGAAATTCGGTTCCCGGTGTCTGCCCACGCGCTACCTCCTCGCCAACGTCCCCTTGCGGCTGGCGCTGCCGCCCCGCCGCTGCTGTAGCGGCTCCATCAGGCACCGAGGGCGCCGACGGCGGCTCGGCCGCCACCACGTATGCGCCAGGCGCAGCAGCCGCCGGCCTGTCGTTTGTTGGGTCTGGCCTGTCAAGCGCGCCGCCGCCACACGCGCGGGCCCCGCTGCAAATATCGACGCGACTCATTGGCGAGCCACCATCGTCACCCATACAGGGTGCCCCTGCGGTGGACTCCTGGCGGGCTGTTTCACTGCCTGGGGCTGTGACGCGTCGCAGCGCAGCGTCTGGTCGGTCGGCATTCGCGGTGGGGTGCAACCGCAGCGGCAAAGCGGCGTGCGCTGCCTGCTGCTGCTGGTCGGAAGACACGTGGCAATCAGTGCGCGCAGGGAGCAGACTAGCCTCTGTCTCCTCGCTTCGCGACGAGTGATGCTGCTGCGGCTCCGGCTGCTGTTCCTGCTGCTGCTGCTGCTGCTGCTGCTGCTGCTGCTGCTGCTGCTGCTGCTGTTGCTGCTGCTTGTCAATCTTGCTGCTGCCCTGAATTGGCAGCATTTCTTCGCTGACGTGCCCCTGCTCTGACGCTTGCTGCTGCACGCCATTTGCCATAGCCGTCGTGGCGGCCTGCTCCTGCTTCTGTTCCTGCTCGTGCTCCTGCTCCCGCTCCCGCTCCCGCTCCTGTTCCTGCTTCTTATCCTGCTGCTGCTGCTGCTGCTGTGATGGCGACACTGCTGCCCCCTCCTGGGATTGCTGCGCCTGCGGCCCGCCAGCGAGCTGTGAGTGGAATGCGGCAACGTCGGCGGCAGAAAGCTCCTCCTCCAGGGCAGCAGCAACCTGCTGGAGCAGCAGGGGCGCCTCTGCCCGCAGCGCCGCCGGCAGCTGCGCGAGGCAGCTGTCCGCCGCAACCGCGGCGCGCTCCGGGACAGGCACGCCGCGGGCCGCGGCCGTGGCGCGCGCCATCAGCCGCCGCAGCTGGTGCAGGTCGCGGCTGTCGGACAGCTGGGCGACTCGCAGCAGCAGGGAATGGCAGGTCGGAGCGGAACCATGGGGAAGCAGGATCCGGAAGAATCCTTGACAGAGGCTCAGGGCCTGTGGGTTCAGAATACAGGGTCATTAGGAGGAGGGGGGTGATTGAGGGTGTTGATCCTGGGTGCCCAGCATTCATTGTGTACTTGGCGCGCCGCAAGGAAGGTGCGGATGGGTGGTGTGCATGCTATTCCATCTCCTACTGTGCGCCTCTCAGTGTGCTGTGGCAATGAAGGGCGCTAGTGACACACACATTCGTTGGACAAATAGCCAGGCCATGTGCGCTCTCGTCGCCGCGAGTACCTCTTCCGGCGTGAGCAGGGGCGCGCCCGCGTACTCGGACTCCTGCTGCCGCTCCAGCTCGTGCCACGCGTCGCCCCACTGCTGCGAGCCGTCTGGCAGGGCGTCCAGCAGGGCGCTGACGGGGACAGCCTGGCCGCCGTGCTTGAGCAGCAGGTAGCTGGCTGCTGGGTCGACGACGCCTGCAGATGGGCAGCCGCATACAGAGCACATAGATGCGTGACATTATAACTATTGGTTCACAGACATCAGTTGTTAAGTCATAGACATCCAGACATCAGTCGTTGGTTGATACCTGTACTTGCAAAGCAGGCGGACGGCAAGGCGCAAACCGCCATGGGCGCTCAAAACGACAAATACATACCTGCAGGGTTGATTGCTACGTGCGCGTTCAGGACCTGCCCAAGAGTGAGAGCCGCGCTGCCGCCACCGCCGCCGCCACACTGGGACCTCTGCACTCTGGGTGCAGGGAGGTGGAAGGCAACCAGTGCGCCCGCGACGCACGAATCGCATGTGGCACGCTCCCCGAGCTGCCACAGCCAAAACCCCGTTTGCAGGGCGCACACGACCTCGCCGCGCGACAGGTACCCTGCACCAAGCAGCTGCGGTGTTGCAAGGGGGGATGCAAAGCGTGCGCAGCACGCCGCAGCTGGGCTTGGGCGCTTGCACAGACTCGGACCGCTGTGCCGTTTGTGGACACGGTCATGTTTTCTGTTGTACTGAGCAAAGCAAAGCACTTGCTGAGCCCCTCGACAAGCGAGGCAATTCACAGTAAATTATCAGATATCACAGCAAAGATCATGGTTAGCATATTGCACAGAGTGGAACATTGGCGACTCACCGCATTGTGAGACATCGTGCGCAGTAGCAACAGAACTTACATCATGTATTCAAGTACAAAACTTGACGACGGACAACGCAGTCGCAGATCGATGATCTGACTCACAGTGTGCTGAACGGAGTGCTTGCTTACGGCAGAAAGGGCCATGGCACAGATGAAGTTTATACATGACACTCAGCTGAGGGACAAGCGTGATCAAGGGGATGCTGTTGAAGGGCGCCGTGGTGATTACTAAATGGCCGTACTGCCCGCAGTGCCTGCCCCTGGGCTGTCGCAAACAGCGCAGCGAGCGCCGCAGGTGCCCTGAGGGGTCACCGGACCGGCAATGCCAACGTGTTACTGAGCCCAAGCACGGACCACCCCTGCCCGGCGAGCGACCGGCCCGCCGCCCCCAGACCGAGCCCTTTCAAAAAAGGAGGCCACTCAGCAGAGGGCACACCAAACCACTAGCAGCAAAGACACACCCACCGGCAACGCCCAACAGCAACAAACACACCAGGCCCCACGGGCCTCAAGGGCAGCCTGCAACACACAGGGCAATGCGATGCACAAACACGCCACGCCTAGGCCGAAGCCAGCAGCTCTGCACGAGTCGACGCCACTGCACGCGCCGCCGACCGCCGCCAGCGCCGAGCCGGCGCCACTAGACACCCCGCTGCGCCGCCCGCAGCATGCGGCGAGACGCCTTCACAGCCTCCTGGCCTGCGCTGGAGGCGTACACGAGCGCGGCATCAGCCCCCCGCCCGTCGAGGATCTTGCGGGGGGACCCCGCGTCGCCCTGCGCCTCGCGCGCCGCCGCCTTGAGCACCTGCTTAATCAGCGGGTCAGACCCGAGCGCTGGCAGCCCCCGCTCCGCCGCGCAGTCCTCCAGGTGCGACACCGCCCGCGTGATCGCCGGCAGCCGGTGGCCATGCTCAGTCATCAGCATCACGTACTCCGCCACCCGCCTCGCCGTCGGCGACGCCGCCACCCCGCTGGCCTTACAGAAGCGGCTGAAATCCCGCCACACTGAAGAGCGCTGCGCCAGCGTGGCAGGAGCAGCCGCCTTCTGCTTAAACGCCTCCAGGCGCGCCGCCACCTCATGACGCTGTACGCGCTGAGGGTCCCACTTTGTGACCGGCACTGCGTGGCGCCCCTGCCTCTGCCCATGTCGCACTGGCGAGTCATGAGCGAGGTGTAAAGCAACGGTGTTTCAGCGCCATGTCAGGTGTGCCTCCAGCATACGGTGTGCCCGGCAGCACGCGTGCGCGCCATGCGCTACGCCGTCGTGCCCGCAGCTGCGTGAGAAATTGAGAAGCACTGCCCCGCGGCCCCAGCCGGCACCAAGCAATCACACTGCTGAACCGTGGTGGCTGCAACAGCTTGAGCCATCTTGACCGAAGGGATCCTCACTCCCGCAAAACCACCACACCTTTCGTGCCAGGCTTGTCGGGGTTCTTGGTGGCCGGGCGCTTCACCACCTCCATGATGGCCGCCAAGCCCTTATCAGTCAGGGCCTGCTGCCCGCTCTTGGTCTGGGCTTCAATCGTCCCCAGGATCTCCTGAAATTGCGCCGTGGTCAGCGGGACCGCACCCGCCTGCCCCCGCCGGCGCTTAGCCGGCCGAGCCTGCTCGCCCTCCGACTCATCTGATGAGCTAGCACCCTGGTCGTCAGACGGCTCCTCGCCGCGCCGATTCAGAGCCCTGTCGGAATCAGCTGCCCTCGCCTTGGCGCTGATCTTATCTCGACCACGTCTGGTCTTTTTGTTGGCTGCCGGCTGAGTCGCTGGCCCTTCAGCCTTGCGGCTGCTGCGGCCGTGCCGCTGAGACATGCCCTCCCCAGGCCGACCCATCCTGATCAGATCGCCTGATTATGCTGAGAACGCTGCTTGGGTACCGGTATGACGCACCACCACAAACTCCCACCAATTTTGTCAGATCAGGCTGTGACTTGTACAGGCTGTGCAAATCTCATTATATTCATCTATAGTGTTTGTCACAATATAATATCACTCTTGCCAGTGGGCTCTGATGCTTCCGCTCAAATGATCTGTGCCACAAGTGGCTAGCAATACACCGATTGCAGGTCAGCCCATCTGATACCGATCGACGCGATGGCGCCCAAGGCGGCCAAGAAGGACGAGCTTCAACAAAAGAGCCCTGCAGAGTTCTTTGCCGACAACAAGAACATCGCCGGCTTTGACAATGTGCGCCCGCTGGCCGCTGCGATCGTTGCATGGCTGCCGCGCGCTATCCCATTGGCAGAGTGACACGTGCGCGGCTGATCAGGGTTGGTTGGCACGAGCATCGTGCATGTATGTGTGCCACCTGGGGTGCAGCAGCAAAAGCTATGCCACATCAGGCAGTGCCCGCACGGTTTGGTGCACACTTCTGTGCTGTGCCCCTGGCTAGCGGCTTGGTCGGCTCACTTTAGTACCCCTCGCAACACAATCACCTCCGAGGCGCATGCCGCTGCTCGGCCCTATGCACGCACGCATCGCTCTGCGCGCCCGATGATGCCACTTCTTGGGTTGCTGACAAGGCGCTCTACAGCCGCATGGGCGGCCAACACCCAACTATCGCAATCCCACTTTTCTGCCCGCTCCTAGAGCATGGTCCCTGAATCAGACCAGTTTGGGCGTGTTCACCTGGCACCCATGCACTTCGGCACACACCAGCTATGTCACCACCCTCTCCCACACCACTCTCTTTCCCTACAAGTGTTGACTGTCACAGGCCCAACAGGCAGGCGCGCCTTCTTCCCCTTGGAATTTCCAACGAATCCCTGAGCACCCCCCCCTCACACATGAAGACACGCCCGCACGCGTGCACACACAGATACACGCATGAGCGCACGCGCGCGCACACACATACACACACACACACGTGCGAATGAGCACACACACACACACACACACACACACACACACACACACACGTGCGCATGAGCACACACGCACCCCCCTCCCTCCCACACACACGCTTACACGCACACGGCCGCAGCCTGGCAAGTGCCTGTACACCACCGTGAGGGAGCTGGTGGAGAACGCACTGGACAGCGCGGAGAGCATCAGCGTGCTGCCAGAGATCACCATCACTGTGTGAGCGCGGTTTAGGGTCAAGGGTGTGAGGGCGGCACCACCACGTCCCATCAGCAGAGGGGCCAACTCCCTTGATTTCAGCACAAAGTTCATGTCTGCAGGGGTGGCTGCAGGCTGTGAGGCTGTGGTGCGTGAGTAGGGGCATGTGGTTGGGTTGCAGTCAAAACAGGGGCAAGAATGACACCATGCCGGAAAATGAATGCACGCCCTTGACAGCCCCGCACATGCACAGCTTTTTGGACCAACCACCTTCAACCAACCACCACCAAACCACCGTGCGCCCCAGGGAGGAGGTGTCTAAGGCGCGTCTGAACCGCCTGAGGGGGGTGGAGCACCACGACAGGATCGACGAGGCCCTCTACCAGGACTGGGAGAGCGAGGACGCGAGGAGGGTGATCTGGGGCGATCTGGGGTGATCTGATCCAGGGCAAATGGCGATCTGGGTCCCATTTGGGCGACTATTTTGTGACCTTGCTGCAAGCCTTGATCGAAGCATTTGGCATCGCTCGCTTGTGCTGCGCTGTTTTTGAGTCCCACCCGCTCGCGCGCCATCTTCCTTGCCCCTCCCATGTCCCCAGCGCCGCCTGGCCAAGGAGGCAAAAGAGAAGGAGCGGCTGGAGAAGATCGCAACAAAGGTTTGGGGGACGGGTTGCAAGAGGATGGGCCAGACGCCAGCAGCCAGTAGGCCACGCGACGCGCCCTGCACCCACCCGCCCCTGCACCCACATGGCGCCCTGGCCCCCTGGCTCAACGTCGAACCGCCGGATCTGGCGCTTGCCCACCACCCATCTCGGCGCGAGGGCAGAAGGGGGAGGCGGCCGCGGCGGTGGAGCGCAAGGCGTCCGATGCGAAGCGGGCCAAGGAAGGGGTGGGGCGCGGCAACCTCTTCTACAGGGTGACCGTCAAGGTGGGGGGCTGGTGGGTGTGCTGACTGCTTGGTGGGGTGGCGCAACGAGATGATACCTCTGCTTCGGGGGTGCCGGGTTGGGGTGGGCGCGTGCATCAAGATCACGCCCCAACCGCCGAGGTGGGGCTGGGATTGCTGGGGTTTAGGGGTGTCCTGATGTGTACTGAGATGAAAGGAGTCAAGGAGCCCTGCTGATCCTGATAGCCCCAAATTTGTTGACGTCTGCCCCCTCCCAGGACAATGGCAGCGGCATGCCCCACAAGGACATCCCTGACATGCTGGGCCGCGTGCTGTCCGGCACCAAGTACGGTGCGCCCTGAGCACGCCGTCGCCTTGCTCTGCCCTGCCAGCAGTGGGCCGTGTTGCGATGCAAGGCCGCGGTGGGGATGGGATGGTGCTACAAAGGCTTGACAGGACGTGCTGGCATTGCGGAGGGGGTGCCAGTAACAGCTGTCCTGTGATCACGGGGACGCCCCACTGCGCACCCCGCACCCCCAATACCACCAAGCACCTGAGCTCTGGCCCCAAGAGGCGCCCTGCCTTCAAAGGGGCCTGACCTCACATATGTCCCTTGACACCCGCTCCTGCATTCAGGCGTGAAGCAGACGCGCGGCAAGTTTGGTCTTGGCGCCAAGATGGCGCTGATCTGGTCAAAGATGACCACAGGGCTGCCCTTCACCATCAGCTCCGCCACCAGGTGGGGCAGAGCTGGGCTGACGTTGCTTACTTTAGGGCAGTTCGAGTTTTGTGCTGGCTGAATTTTTGGGATGGGGCTCATGTGGTGGTCGGCAAGGGTACGGTAGGGATGCTGGCCCTGGGCGGGGGGTTGGGGTGGTGCAGGCGGTCGCTGCACGTACTGCGCTGTGTGCGGGTGAGCGGTGCGCCCTTTGACGGCAGCCGCAGCTGCAGCAGTGGCAGCGCAAGGCAGCCGGGTTGTGGCAGCAGCGGCAGCTTCTGCTGCTAGGCCCTTGCCACCCTCGAAACCCTCCAGAGCTCACTCCAGGGAGGCGGATGCAGCGCAGACGCCCGGGGCTCTCTCAAAGCGCTGTGCAGCTCGGGCTGCGGACGGCGCCATGTGTCGCGGCCAGCCTTGCTGGAACACTTACATTGGCATGCCACCCCCCTGACTGTCTTTGTATGCATCGTCCTGTGTCTGAACCCAATCGTCAGGCGCCAGGACTTCAGGAGCCACTACATCCTCGACATCGACATACACAGGTGAGTTGATATGATCCATTGCGGGCGGCTGATCTGTTGGTGATGTGTCGCCTTTGATCAGTCGCTGTCGTCGCGCACCCGCCTTTGCCCTTTGGATCGTAGCATCTACGCTTCACCTGCCCGCCCCAACATCCCCCCCCCACCTGTGGCTGTTGAACCCGCATCCCAGCAATGTGGCCGCATCCGAAGCCCCCCCTCACCAAACCCACTCCTGCGCCCCTGTTCTCCCCTGGACTCCGTTCGCAAAGACGATCTCCTCATGCAGCCCCCTCTGCCCTGGTCGAGACCCTAAATCTTACCTCCACTGCCCTCCCCCCCCCCCCAAAGGAACGAGCCCAACGTCCACAAGGAGAGCAAGCTGGACAACAGCGACGGCTGGCACGGTGCGCACGCGCACGCGCATGTGTATCGATGTATGCGTTGTGTGTGTGTGTGTG